AAAAAAAAAAAAAAGAATTTTGATGATGTTTGTAACAAAGCCATGCCTGTTTGTTATTAAAAACCATTGTACTTGCCTTGTGTTTTTAATATAATAGGTTTTACATGATTTATATGAATTTATAATAGACTTATGTAGCTCGGGCATTTGTAGGAAATATCTATACTATGTTGTTAGTTGGCTGGCAGTCACTTCCAATGCATGTTAATCTTATAGAGAAAAAGAGCCCTTGTGGTACTTGGGTAAGCTCTGAGCTACTAACTACAAGCTTGGTGGTTCAAATCCACTGGCTGCTCCTTGGAAGAAATGTGGGGAGGCTATGAGTCAGAATTGACCCCATGGCAGTGGGTTTTCAATAACGCAGAAGAAACCATTGGGCATCTTTGTGATCCTTGGTGTATTTGTGTTTATTGCCGGGGTTAATGTGTTTATCCAGCTCATTGTCAGTGACCCTCTACCAAATGTGATGCCTTTTCCTACCAATTTGTGTTTCCTGATGGTGCCTGTCCGAAGTAACTGAGTCAAAATCGTATCATCCTTGCTTCTAAGGAACATCGGGCTAAATTGCTTCTAAGACGACTTTGCTCATTGTTTGGCAGTGCGCAAAAGATTCAACATTCTCTGCAGCACCACAGATCACTATGGGATAGCGTGTGTGGTAAGGCCACAAAGGAAAACAAAGCACGCAAGGAGATAGAAAAGCAAAGAGGCTCTCAGATAAGATGGCATTTACGCAGAGCCCTCAATGTAGTATGAACTACACGTAAGGGAAGAGGAAGCCCCCCTCGTGACTCAGTGGTAAATCACTTCACCGCCCACTGAAAGGTGAGCAGTTTGAACCCACCTTGCTGCTCAGTGGGAGAAAAGACCCAACAATCTGCTGCTATAAAGATCACAGCCCAGGAAATCCTATGGGACAATTCTTACCGGGCCATTATGTCCTAATAGGGCCAAGAGGAGCTGAAGTGGACTTGCTGGGACCCGACAGCAAAGGGAAGAGGAGTAGCCTAGGCAGATGCAGCGGCATCAAGAACATGCAGGAGAGTTGAGGGCACGTGCAAGGGCCTCAGAAGAAGGCGCTGCCGCTGGAGGAGTGAGGGGCCTGGGGTGGGAAGGGGACAGAGGTCAGATGGCACCCAGCCTTACAGATCAAGGTCGGGAGTTTGGATTTTACTTTGAACAGGAAGAGGAGCCCAGGGGAGATAAGTACAGGGGTGATGGGGATATGCCAGGCATTCTGCCTTAGGAAGCATTGTAAAGTGGGCTATAGAGAACGGGGATGAAGCAAGGACACTCTTTAGGAGGCTGTTCCAACCATCCAAGGAGAACCATGGTGGCTTGGACCAGACGATGGTCTGGAGCAGAATGCGGAGTGATGAGTGTATGTCTTTTGAAAGCGGGGCCAATAAATAGCTGATCTGTTGGGTGTGGATGTGAGAGAAGACAAGCCGTCAGA